GATGAGAACAAATTATCGATATCGACATGCTTGAGAGCCATAACAACCCTTTCTCAACACGCCATATGCCGCGGCGCTTCGAGCGCGCCCTTAAATTACAGAAGTTCCCGCTCATAATAGAGAGATATGCCTTTAATATCTGCCGGAAACTGCTTCCGTGCCTTGTTTACTTTTTGCCTCCGTTCTTATATTAGAAATTGTGTTACAAAGCAAATACGTTTGTTATCTTGAACTATGGTTACTGCTGACGTCTGTTTTTATGTGTCTATAGTACCAAGCTTGTAAACTGTACCAAAGTAGACTTGATATTATCCTATTATTTTCTTATTAATGAAGACTTGTTACACATATATTTATTAAGACGTAGGAATATTTGTTTTGCCTTGTATCTTAATCTAAGATATTCACTTTTAGTAAATAAGTTATAGTCGTATAAGTGCATTTTTAGTGTTACTAATAATGTGAAAATATATAAACTTTTTTATAAAAAAAAAAAGTAATAAAAACGTATTTTAAATAGTTTTACAAAGGTGTAAAAACACTTATTAACATCAAACTACAGACCTGTATAAACAATAATTCAAAAATAATATAACCGGTCAAATTTCTAGTAAAAGTGGAATAATCGGGGTTCGTTCAAACCATTTACCGTATAACGATCGACCTTTACCCGCGCGTGACATAAGAAAATGTCATTACAGAATCGAACCCCGCAAGATCGGGGTGCAATTTCAATCACAATTCCCGGCCGGTGTCCTGAAACGCACCTGCTGACTGTCACGGGCCCAACACGTGCCCGACTAACAGGCTACTTAACGTAAGTGACCCCACTTACTTAGGTAACCTCTTTTAAAACACACGGCGACGACACGGAAACGATATCCTTATGAAATATCGTATCTAAATTTGACCGATTATGGCCAGGAAAATGTAGCGAAAAGTTGACTTGACCTTTTCTGAAGCAATATTTAATTAATGTTTGCGGAATACTCGAAAGACAAACGAAACACAGAAGCAATTATACTGATGATAGCCCTCTTTGTATTTCCTAACCTGTCTATACAAAAGTAACCAGTCGTAATGACTTATGAACCTCGGAATACAATATGAATTTTAGTTGTAATTTATTTGGGAATTCTACGGAAGACACGTCGTAGCGTGTCCGTGCCGACGTCGTTGACTTTAAACGCCACCAATCCCAAATGTGCCGTCGGAGACAGTCCGATAGCCGGCAATTTCACGAGCTACGACCGCCAGCTGCGACCGACGCGCCAAAAAATAACATTCCCTAAAAAACATTTGCGAAAGAAAGGGATATTAGTCTCCGCGGAGCAATAATCGAAGCCGATTGGCCCACCGAACGCCCCAACACGACACTTCCTTTTATTTATACCATTACTTTATTCTATGGTAATATCGTAAAACATATTTTATGTGCGCGAACACCTTCCGATTTTACAATAAAACGATGCTTGCTGATTGCAGATTTGTCCAGTGGATAATAGACATGCAATAGTCAAAATTGTTTTATTGATTACAGTTTACTTTTCTATAGTTAAATGGTTATAGTGAACAATTTTAAAAACAACAGTTTGTCATGATGTATTCTTGTGTTTGTGAAAAAGGCATATAATAAAATAGCCCTCAAACTAGACACTTCGTAGCACTAGCGTAGCTTCGTAGCTATAAGTTATTGAGCTTTACATCGCACATGTATGTAGCACGGCTTTGGGTGTACGAATAATCGAGACTCGCCAATTGTACGTTTCTAATCGAATTGAAAATTTAAAATCTAACATATATTTTTAACGCGATACATGAACTATTACGGACTAATGCTGATTTACACGAGGGTATGAGAATGATACCGAAGAGTAGATTAGTATTAAATATCGTAGTTCTGCACTGTTATCTGGTATATAACAGTATACTACCCTCGTGTAAAACAGGCTATTATGGGTGAGATTACAAACGCGACGGGGCAGGCTGATGTTTGATGGGTATTTTTAGTCGCGGCGCGGGATTACGCGTCAAGATTAGATTTCAAACGACAAGTGAGCGCGCGACGCCCTGTCACCAACACTGAACGCCCCTGTTTAAGGCTCATTCGCTAAATAATGCTGAATCAATTTTATTAGTTCTATTAATTTTTATCTATTTACCATTATAAATTAACATTAAATACCAGCTATTAGCTATTTTCTCGGATATATTAAATTTAATTAAAACATTTGTTACTCATTTCAAGAGTTCAAATCCATACTGACATTTCTTAAATTAATAAAAAGTAGGTTTTGGATTTAATAAATATTTCAAAAAAAATAAAACAGTTTTTTTTTATTATTTATTCCACTAGAAATATTTGTTAAGTATACGTATCGTGTACGAGAGATCGCGGCCAATTTCTCCGACCATTTCCCCTAAATTTTTTCAATACGCGTTTGGGATCATTTAACATTTTTATGTGTAATCTTGCTCGGTGGCGATAAGACAAGGAGATTTTTGCGCGTCTCTCACTTTATTTTATCGGCGACGTTTTACGGCGGACTCTAAACAGATTAAATCTATAAGAATGGGGCGCTTTCCGTATTATTTTTTGTTCCCGTTTATTGCCTTGTATTTTGGTTTTATAAAATCCCCGTGGAACGTTCGAAATTTGATTTGTTTCCAATTTAAACAACGAAGATATTTTAAATCAGTATAAAAACATAAATCTGGTGCACACGCGTGATGTAAGTACAACGTTTAAAACTGTGATAACGGTCCCATCCCTAGGGCTGTGGAAGTTGACGGTAAACATTTTTATTCCTGCTTTCATAACAGTAAATAAAAGAAATTTCAATCTGTTTTAGTTCTCAAAATCAACACAACGTATCATATGGATGGTCGACCACAGTAATTAATTACGTATCAAAGCAAAGGACACATGAACTTTAAATTATGCAACATTTGTATGGAAATACGAAAGACGCCCAAGAACTCTACCCCGCAGGCATCTTTTTTATTTGTTGCCCCGGTTTGACGCTCACTCGAGGTATTTGATTACTTTTTAATGCAGATTTAGGATTAAGTATTAGATATAGGATAATTTAAACATTCAAAAATTGCAATTTATCGTCATAATAGCGCTCTGTTCGAATGACAAAATAATGTCAAATCAAAAACATGCAATAAGACATTTTATCTACAGTACAAACAAAACTTTAAATCAAAACTATAGTACATCTAGCCATGACGAGGTAGTGCGAAGTAGGAAAAACTTTATCAAAACATGTTAATATTGTAAACGTTTACTTAAATAAATAAAACAATCCATCATTCCGGGGCGTGCGGAGTCGCTAGTGGAAGTATTGTGGACCAACTCGACGGCAAACAAACCCCGGCAATCACCAGTGCAAATGTTTGCCACCGTACTACGCCGCCGTCACGCACCTCGACCCACACCGACAAACGCGTTGACGGTGTTACAATAAACATTACTTAACAAAGTATTAATATAACTAACAAATGCATGTTGTTAAAAATCTCGACTTGTCTATTATCAGATAACAACGCTTCCTGTCACTTTAAGATACCTAAAAACTGCATGTTTAAGTGACATGAAACTTAAAATAAATGCTTCGGAAATAAATTGATGAATGGGGAGTTATTCCAAAGCACTTTTTTCTATCTTTTTTATCTTGATCCAATATTTGAATTATCAATCGTTAAATAACTAATTTTTAATTAATGGTCAATGGTCAAAATTATTTCCATATTTACCTTCTCCGAGAAGCCTTCACCAATGTCTAGTTAACAATAGTTGACTAATAAAAAAATAATAAAACCGTCTCATATTCCATTGTTCAATTTCAATTGTGAGAGATCTATTAAAATTTTCAATTTCTGATTTTCACCCCCTACAGACGTGACGCCGTGTTTATATCATATTTTCCATCCGGCGAAGCTTATTTTATTACTTCGATAGGTCGACGCCTAACTTCGTTGGCCACCAGTGTGAACAATTTTGTAACCGCCGCGAGAATATAAGCCATTTCAATTTTAAATTCTATCGTACACTAATAGAGCTTAAAATGCTATTACCTGTATGTGACTTTAGGTGAGATCGCCAACCATAGCGCGCTAACCTTATATTCTTCAAAGAATGGTTGGTAAATTTTCAATACTCACTTTATTAGGGCAGAGCGGAAGGAGGGTGAACGAAACGGCCTTTATTAGATTTCTAGAAACGTGAACATATAGTTAATAATGTAGTATTTTACTTTTAATTTATTGTTTATTTATATGAATTCAAGTGTTACTAAGATTGAAACAGAAATCATTATTTTAAAAATTGTAATAAATACCTATTAATTTGATCTAACATAAGCTTAAGTTACTACTTTTTTAACACTTTTTTTAATAAATAGTCTATGCTGTTTCTGGTGATGTTTCTTTATCAAAAGGCTACAAAATCTTCAATTTATTGTGAAACATACACGAAGCTCGAATTTTTAGGATAAGCGACATCTATTAAATGATTTTTGTATTTACGCAAACAACTCGTCTGTAGTCTCCGCGTAGATAACAACTTTGTTAATAGTTAGCGCTGCAGTCAGCCATTTCTGTTATTTTCGTGGAAATGAAATTAAAATTTATATCTAAAATATCTCTATTACTTTATTGTAATTATTAATTCAATTGATATTTTGTCAAGTCTAAGCTCAGTTAAGAAGAACAATAAATACAGATTTGGAATAAATCAGATCGGGTCTCGATTTTGATCCAAAACTTATTCGATTATACGATTTCAAAATATATGGAAAAATAAATGTTTTTGTCCTGATACTTTACTTTTTTATAAAAGCTTTTGACGAAATGTTTACAATACAAACAAGCATTTTTAACTAAGCTGAGAAATATTTTTTTGATAGCAGTAATAAGGAAATTCGATGTCACCAATCGAGTTTTAACGATTTTCTTTCAAATCCCTACAAACCAAGCCAAGTTTTGTAATGACATTACGTGACATCAACATTGTCAAAATGAAAACGTAGAGGTTAGGATTTCACGAAATGATGTGTCAAACTCGGAATCGGTGAATAAATATTACGTTTCTTAGTAATTATGAAAAAGTAGTAAGCGAAAATACTAATTCAAGATGGCAGTTGTAATAGAAACAACTCTTGGTGATATTACAGTAGATCTATACTTAGAACAGAGACCAGTTACCTGCTTAAATTTTCTGAAACTATGCAAGATGAAATATTACAATTTCAATCTATTTCACTCAATACGTAGTGGTTTCATTGCTCAAACGGGAGATCCGACCGGTGAGGGTTCTGGTGGCGAGTCTATATGGGGCCTTATAGAAGGGCCGCAAAAGCGTTTCTTTTCAGGGGAAAAAATGCCTAAAATACGTCATACAGATGCTGGTTTGCTAGCCATGGTATGCACAGATGATATGATGATTGGTTCCCAATTCTATTTCACGCTGGCTCCTGACTTAGATTCCTTAGATGGAGTTCACTGTGTTATTGGAGAAGTTACAGAGGGTCGGGAAATATTAAGTAAGTTAAATGAAGTTATATGTGATGAATCACACCGTCCTTATCAAGATGTTAGGATTACTCACACAGTTGTACTCGAAGATCCTTTTAGAGATCCTCCTGGGCTAACACCACCTTCCAGATCTCCTTCACCGAGTGCTGAACGCTTAAGAGGTGGTAGAATTGCGCCTGATGAGGAAATTGATGAGACACAAGGCAGAACAGTTGAAGAAATACAAGAAATGGTTGAAGAAAAGGAAGCTAAGGCTAGAGCAACCATTTTGGAGATAGTTGGTGATTTGCCAGATGCTGATATTGCGCCTCCAGAAAATGTACTGTTTGTGTGTAAATTAAACCCTGTGACATCAGATGATGATTTAGAAATCATTTTTAGTCGTTTTGGGAAAATTGTAAGCTGTGAAGTCATAAGAGATAAGAAGACGGGTGATTCTTTACAATATGCATTTATAGAATTTGCTGATAAACAATCATGTGAAGATGCATATTTCAAGATGGACAATGTATTAATAGATGATCGGCGAATTCATGTGGACTTTTCACAATCTGTGTCAAAAATGAGATGGCTTGGAAAGGGTAGAGGTGTGAAGTATTTTAATGATAATGAACCACAAACTGTTAAGAGAGGCCAAGTAAAATCTAAATCTAGAAGCAGAGAAAGACATTTACATTCAAGTAATGATAAAGAAAAGTATAGGAGTAGGAGCAAATATGATAAGTCACAAAGTAGTAATAGAGATAAGAAATATAGCCATGAAAAAGACCATTCACGCCACAGAAATGATAGAGAAAGAAGTAGAAGTAAATCAAGAACAAAAAATCACAAATCATCATCATCAAAACGTGAAAGGAGCCCATATAGCAGTAGGAAAAGTTCTGATAAGAGCAGAAAAGAAAAACACCATAGTAACCATTACAATGATAGAAAGGACCATAGTTATAATAATGAAAGAGAGAAACATACTAAAGGTAATGAAATAGAATCATCTTATAACAAACATAATGAAGAAAGTCAAAGACATATCAAAAATAACAATAGACGGGCATCTCCATCCCCTTCCAAATATGGTCACATAGAGGAGAGACATTCTAAAGATAGAAAGAAAAGAAAATCTCAATCACCAATCAAAAATATAGAAAAAAGGGATAAAAGCTTGAATAGTAATAAAAGAAAAAAATCTCCATCTCCGGCTAAACATGCCAATAAAAAAGAAATACATTCTAATAGTAACAAAAAAGAGATAAACCAATCTCCAACGAGATATACCGATAATTCTAAAACTAACAGAAAGGAGTCTCATTCCCCTCCAAAATATGTTAATGATAGTAATAGACATTTTAAAAGCAATTATGTAGAGACATCTTCATCTTCCATCATAAAACATAAAAATCAAGATGAAATAAGCAGCGAGAGTTCTAGAAATGAAAAGAAATATTATCAACAACCTCACAACATTGAACATGATTCAAAACACAAACGTAAACTTGAAAATAGTGAAATAAGTGGTAGTAATAAAAAAACCAGACGGGAGCAGCCTCACACGCCATCACCATTATGTGAAAAAGAAAATGAAAAACAGGAACAAAACAAAATCAAGAGTAAACAAACAAACAAATCAAGTGACAGGAAGAATAGGAAATTGCATAAAAAGAGGAAGCCGTCTACATCTTCTGATAGTTCATCTGAAACAAGCACATCTAGCAGTAGTACAAGTTCTTCAAGTGAATCCGACAGTAAAAAGAAAAAGTTAAGAAGGAAAAGAAAGGAATCAACTACAAGCAGCAGCAGTAGCTACTCTAGTGACAGTTCAAGTTCAACAAGTTCAAGTTCTACAAGCTATAGTAGTAGTTCAAGTTCTAATAGTGATTGCAAGAAAAGAAAACAGAAGAAGAAAGTCAAGAAAGTAGTTAAAAAATCTAGAAAGAAGTTATAGTAGTTAATTATAGAATGTATTAAGCTTATAGTACAATAAATGGTCTTTGAAAACTTTAATTCTTTGTACAATGAGAATCATTAGAATAAAATTTGTATGAATTAGCAATGCATTATATAAATTGAGGCACAGTTTATATTTTCTTTACCATTCTCAATCCTCTAAGGCTAGTTTACTTTTATTGACCAATTAATTCTAGAATAAAAAATAACTAACTTTTCAAACTATGAAAAAGCAAAACTCATAAATAGTAACATTGTCAAGCAATATATTTTTTCATTTCTGAATAAATGTAATATTTATCTTTACAAATTCATGTATTTTTTTCTGTACCATTTACATTATTAAATATTAAACATGTTTTCTCTCTTTGTTTAATTACAACAACACTATATAACTGCTTTTATAAGCATTTTCAAAGTACGTTGTAGTACTTTCAAGTTACTTGCTATAATTAAAAAACATTCAAATCCCATGACATTAAGATAGTATACCATACATATACGTTTAACCTCAGAGCTTTCAATATTATACAGAATACCTTTTTACTTGGAAATTTCACTAAGAGAATTAATATTACTTTATAACATCAAATGTACTTTTAACATTAACATAGATTCTTCGTTTTTTTTTTTGAGTAGAATATTTTGAATTAATGCTCCTGTAGTTTTTTAATAGCAATATATATCCTTATTGCTCGTATGGTTTATAAACAATTTGGCAGGTTCTAGTATGTACAAGAATAATTCCACCAAATACCAAAAGCTAAAACCTGTATCAATATAAGATTCACATTCTACTTAAACAGCTAAGAAAAAGCATTTTTTGGATTTTTTCTTTTGTTTTTATTTTATATCTGGGTCTAATCTGTAGCGGGTTATTTTCCAAAACGAATCAATTAGTATACTTTTTAAATGCAATTACGTATTAGGTAATTGTAAATACTCAGGTGGCGATATAAATCTTAATTTAAAGTGTACGAAAGGAAATAATAAATAAAGTCGAGCTACAAATGAAAGGTACCTACTGGCCGAGTGCGAATACAGGACGTCGTTGAATCCCAGCCGGTCTATTGGCTCGGTCAGTTATCTTTTGTACAGTTAAAGTGACTAAACAAGAAGATGACTGTCGTTAGCGTTCGCTATTGTGTACCTTTAGGCTAAAAACGAATGCGTATTTTGAATATCACTGCGAAACTAAAATGTCCGTTACTTAAATTTTATTAACCCCTATAGTTTACTTTTAATTTATATTTCTAAACCAATTACCCACAACATAACTTAGGATAAATACCAGGAGTGTCGGGTCTCAGCATCATGTCATAATAATCATTGGATTCAGAAAGTAAAAATGAATTCATCTAATAAGGGCGTCGTCAAAATGAGAATTAAAAAACTCAAATAATATGAAAATCAATGGTAGCTGCTTTCTAGAACTATGGGCTAGTAACTATGTGCTGGTAACGACCATGTCTCATATAGTTTTAGGCATTGGGGTAGGCCTTTATTCTGCTGTCTGATACAGTCAGATGAAATATATCATTTCATTGTTATGATGTGCGGAATGATACCCAAACACTTATCTGTTGAGTCAATTAGAATTAACCAATACAAAAACATTTAAGGTCAGAAGAGAAAACCAGTTAAAAATGAGCTCAAAGTATTCATACTTGATTATTCCATATTTCGGTTTTAAAAACACAATATGAATAATGTATCATGTAATTTTCATGGCGTCATGTCTTTCGCCATGATGGTACTGTCTGTCTATAGAGATGACATCTACTTTAAGGCACGCGCAAAAATATGGAAAATGTTTAATGTAATGTAATTAATGGGTGTCGACAGCGTTCCTAACGCTTCATTTTCCGAGCAATATGTTTTATGAAGGGCCTTCTTAACTCGACCTCAGACGTCATTGAATACAGGGACGGATTCGCGAATTCGCAAATTCGATTTATAAATAAAACTGATGCGATAAACTTGCAGAGTTAGAAGCTATAGTTAAATTTCATCTCTTTTAACTAATAAATAGCTTATCACACAACAGTTTTCCCTTTATTCTAAAAACAGAATGTACTTAAAAATTATACTAAATCCCAAATGTTTATTACAAAGATTTGATATTTATTATCCTTATCGTAAATAAGTAATAACAAACCTAATTTCATTCTACAATACATAACTATATCTTTTAACAAGTTGTTTAGATAATATTATTGGAACGCTGTGAGTTCCCCCCTGTGGTTTCCAGTGCGCATGCTACCAGCTATCGACAGGAGGGCTTTTCTCTCCGACGACACCCCGACGCCGCCACTCGTTCCCAGAGCTGAGCGGACCACATCGTCGCATCCTGTTCTCCGTCTGAAATTATCATCTACAATTAAATAAATATTTAATACAAATCAATTCGTCGTTATCATGTTACTGGCCAGTTTAACCGCGGCTTTCGCGGTTCTTTTCGTTGTTAACGCCATACCAGCGCCTACCAACAAAGGTAAAGTACATGATTTTATATTTTTTATTTAGCTAACAATCATGTTATCGTATTTGATATTTATTTTTAATGTATGATGTATCTCTATAGTGAATTTTCTTTACCAATGTTGAATTTATCGATCCGCGTTCTATATTTAGCAACAGGTGGGCTCGGCTGCGCCGTTCCCTAACTGCGTAATACCTTCGAGCGCTGCTAAACTATGACCTTTTCCATAAGACCTAGTCTTAAAATAGCTTAGAATAGTTTTATTAAGGAGAGTTTCGGGATAGATTCATAAAATATAAAAGGTCAACGCCATTTTATGGGCGACACTCCCTCAATCTGCTTACAAGTGCCAAGATGGTTTCTTTACTTTACTTTAAAGAAAATGTATAAAGCAACTTCTTAATACTTAGTTAGACACCAAGTTACAAATAAAACTCGATAAAAAGAACAAGATTTTTTTCATTACAATAGACCTATATAAATATTAATAGGTTTTATTTTTTAAGATGGCGTTCAAATCGGCGAATTGCCGGATAATTGGGACCAGACAAAAGACGACACTCAATCCTTGTTCCTCAACAAGAGTGACAAGAATGACCTGGAACCGTACCCGCTTGCCTTAAGCGAGGAAGGTAAGGTTCTTTTTTTTCTGCATTAATTTATAATCAAGGTAGACTGAACAAAACTATAAAATAATAATACAATAATTACTATACTAATTAAAATTATAATAGTCAAGTTGTTTTCTTTAGGTAACGTAGAAGCATACGAGCAGAATGTTGACCAACGTTTTGATAACCCACAATCCACCGGCGAATTGGACAACTTGATTATGCGGTCGGAACTGTACGGAGAGCCGCCGTCCATGAAGGGTCTATCATCCGGGTACGACTCTCGCCGACGCAAGCGCGGAAGTGGCACTAAAGTGGGAGGAGCGGGTGCAGCCACTAAAGTCGCTACTAAATCTGGATCGGGAAAAAAAAACATGAAGTAAAAAAATGTTTTATTATAATTTTATTAAAAAAAATTACTACTATTTTTTACGCCTTTTGTACTTATGTTTTAGGCCCGAGGATGTCCTTTCTTCAGTAGAATCCACGTCTCAAGATCACGATGTCCATCGTCTCAAGCGGGGAAGCGGAACTAAAGTTGGTGGAGCAGCAGCGTCGGCGAAAACGGCTACAAAAAATTCTGGTGGAAATAAAAAGAACTTTAGGTAACTTAAAACAACTCAAGTAGTCAATTTAAAACAAAACAAGTTAACCTAAGTAAATTGTATCTCATGTTCGTAATATTTTGCAGACCTATTTCCGATCGTCGCAAACGTGATTCGGGTTTGAGCGCCGCTGATGTCCGAGCTCTATTAAATCTTTGGGAGGCTCAGGAACGCAGGAAGCAAGAATGGAACGCCAACCCGTGGGCAGCGGCCACGGAACACAACGGATGGTACAACCGAATGAATGCACTAGACGACGAGCAGCCTGAAGTGGACGAGAATGGCGATGTTTGGTACAACGAGCCGGTCGTAGTGGGGCCCCGCGAGAGAGATTTCCCGCGTCATTCTTACTTTTCCGAACAGAACCGCATGGCGCTTACTCATGGCTTGCCGGACTTATACCAAGTAGACCCGAATGAGATGGCGCAAAGGTATGAAGAAGCTCGTCGTAAGAGGCAGTACGCAAACAAGATGAAGCGATTCATGGTGGCAAGGAAGCGGTCGGATGGCATGATGCACCAGAATAACTACCGTCCCCGCGACGATCTCTACACCCTCGCCGAGCTGCTGCGCTCCGCTCCTCGTGTGCAGGAGCAAGATATCCCCGTTTATCGACGACTGATTCTTTAAACGCATTCTATAATGATGCTTATCCCTTAAAGAATTCCTTCTATATTTAAATTATTTCTCTGTAACTCGGTGTTAATTGATAAAAAAATGTAAGAATAGGTTTTTCCGCTGAATGGGCGATTACAAAGTTTCACATATATGGAGATTATTTCGCATTTAATTCTATGTGTAGTTCATAGTTACATACCAAATTAGATTTAAGGCATATAGAACTAGATAAATCTTATGTTTATTTGTTTACTTTTTTACATTATGGCCTAACATAGTATAAAACATGAAATATGTGTCATGCTGATTATGTTTGTTCTACTCTTCTCTACCTCGGTTTCTTACATATCTTTTTAATCAATTCAGGAATACGGACAACTTGTAGATGTATTTTCAGGTTCGAATATAGTTGCAAATGGTGAGGTAAAACTTCACATTTTAATGGTATTTAGATGTATTCGATGTATGGAAATGGTATTAACACTGCTATATTAAATTAGTGTAATCCAATAATTTGTGTTTCAATTTATAAACCCCCGTGAATGTGTAGTACTGAGTTCTTATTTAAATGTTCCAACAATATTTCGAATATTTAAAACAAGTAAACCTCCTTATCCTATAATTATATCTTATAAATCATATAAAAAAATAATCTGATTTTTCCATTAAATGTCAACGATTTTCAATGATCTTGTGAACTTATGGAAAAGTCAATCCTTTTCGTTGCAATTTAATTTAAGTTATTTAATTTTGTTTAAGTTGATATGAAGAAGGACAACCTTAGTACGGGTAGAATAAGCGGTAGTAGGTTAGAAGACATAGATAGCGAGTGTGTGGACTCGATAGAAAACGTTGAAGATGTTTTGGTTCCGATACGGGCAAAGTACGAATCGTTCCTTTGGTTCCTTAAATATTTCAGAATGTTTATGTTTCGTTTAGGAAAAGATCTATGCCAATCTGGTTTATATTTAATTTTTTCGGAACGGGTATTGCCCTATCACATTGTTGATTTGATGAAAAACCAAGGAACTTTACAGACTGGCCAATACCAAGTGGCCGTTTATAATAAATATGTAAGCAATAATATGAAAAACAACGCCATCCACTCACAACTTGATCGATCGACTCAGACGATTTAATAATGCGCCATAGTTTCTTGTGGGAAACGTGTACTTATTTGGCAAATGAGTAGCCTATTTTCTTTAAGACTGTTTTTTGTTACACGCTTTGAAAGTTTAAATTGCTATTTATGTAGTCAAAATAAATGATTTGGTTCATTGTTCAATATTTTCTATTTAGTTATTATTTCAAATCTTCCTTTTCCTTTTGTAATTAAGTAATTAAACAAAGTATCTAATTGTCTGTAACAAGGAACTTCAATTAGCACAACTCAGTATTAAGTTACAACTGACTAATTGATTCCTTTTCAAAGGAAATAAAAGGTAACGGCAAAATGATTTCCCTACTTCTTTATCCAAGAGTCTGTAAAATAAACATCAAACAGCTATATCTATAGGTGTTCCACATCCGAAAAATTATCTAAAATGAAACAGTTAGTGATTTTTTTTTGTTTCGACAGGAACATCAACTTCATCGGAACATTCCGATGCTCAAAGCGCTAACGTTTCATCACACAGACAAACGTACCATAATGCACAGCTGAAAAGAGCCGTTGCTCTCATCCATGAGGATAAGGAATTCCTTATTGCTGCAGAAATTGGCAACTACTTAATGCTTGAGATCCTTATCAGGTGATAAATAGTTATCTTGCATTGAACTAACATGAATCTTTGTTAATAAGAAATAATACTCAAAGAGAATTCACCAATCTAAACATAAAAGGTTAACATCTTTTACCTATACCCTAAGCAAAGAGTACGTTCAACATTTTTATAGACCAGTTATTATCAAGTGAAAATCAATCGAATGCAGAAGTTGGACAAAGAATAATTTAGATCTGCTCATTCAATTATATCATCATTAAAAATAATAGCTCATGTGTTCTTTCAGACTATGCACTACGACTATGCCAAACATCGAGATCCGTTCTGCAGTTGGAGACAAACTCTAAGATTACTTGCATTTATAATGTTAGTAAGATCCATCGTTTGTTACTTTGGTAGACAAGGTGTGGATATACAGCAGATGGATCATCTGGGTCGGAATGCTCTCCATTTGGCGGTGTGCGCTGACAGCATCGAAACAATCATGCTACTCCTTAAAGCTGGTGTCAAAACTAACGTTAAGGATAACCTCGGTATGACGCCATTATCCCTTTCTCTTATGAGAAGGTAACTAACTAAGTACAATCATACAAAGCTATTTACAATACACAGGGTCAAAAATAGTGTCATACTCAAGTACCTTGTTGCAGGCCGTCTCTAGAAGTGGCACATCTTCTCTTTAACTACGGTGCTAAATTAATACCTCGATTAAAGCCAATGGATACGGGACTTTTCCTTCGTAAGTTAAAATTGCATTTCCTTCAACCAACAATACTTTATACTTCATTCAACGTGTGTTCAATAATCGTTAATTTGTAATCAATATAATTGATCGTGCGAACTTTTTTATTGATTTACTAGTAAGAATTAAAAAAATAGGTCGTAGTGTAGGTAGTCGTAACCTTCTAGTTTGATATATATTGCATTTATCATTTCGCAACTGTCGATTGATGTTCAGTATAAAATTGGAAGGAGTACAAAACATGAGTCAGCTGTGCCATTTATACTGAATGGCAGAGGCGATTTGCAAACCGGTATAGCAACACCAGCCCGGCCCACTTGACCGGGCAGCTTAGTCACCACTGCTGAGACCGAATTTATACATTGTGCTGACGAGACAAAAGCGTCTGAAGACCGTCTGATTGTTTCTAACTCGAATTCTAAATTGTACGAGCAGTTTACACGATAATAAAAAAACAATACGTTATCTTTCATTTATTTACTTATATCTTAACAGTTTAGCATACTTCTTTGTCTTAAAATCAGGCTATAGAGGCATAGTCTTCTACTGTAACGATTCTAGTCTTTAATTAGAACAAATATGTTTTTAATAATTACGTCAGTTCTAAGTGATGACTCGAACCTATCTTTAAATTATTTTCCTAGGCTATTGAAACGTTGATAATTGTACTATCAGGAAGTCTTTTAACAAAAAGACATTTTTAATAATATCTGAATAACTAGTATAAAATAGCCTAATAAATTCTCTTTTTCTCGAATGAAGTTTAATATATTTTAACATTTAAATTCCCAGAATTTGTCATGATGTGTACACCGACTGACGAAGAAGCGAAGATACTTGCACTATTGATAGACAAAGGTGCGCTCATTAACGACCCAGAAGCTCCAGGAGGCCGACAAGCCCTACACTTCGCAGCTATGAGCGACAACTGTCCCCTCATACAGATTCTCATAAACCTTGGAGCTGATTTATTTTTGATAAACCATCGGAATCAAACACCTATAGATGTCGCATTGTCTTTCAAGTGTAGAAATGCTTATACGTTTTTAAGCAAATTTTATTGACCTTTCCAATGTTATTGAAACCCTACCCTTAAAGTGTCTATACTGTTTGTTATTATACTTACTAACTTTATATTTTTAAGATTTGAAAAAAGTATAACGGTTACTTCATAGTTATCATTAAAGCCCAAACTTATATGGTATTTTAATTAAACTTATATTTAAATTAACTTAACTTCTGGTATAATAATTTGAGAATAGACTTGTCAAGCATTAAGGATTATGACTTTTAAAAGTCTGATTATAACACAAGTATTTAAAATACAAAGCGGTCAAAAAGATATAATTGTTAAAGCTAAATCTATTTTTCAATAGGTTCATTCGACCCACGCATTGCAATGTGTGGTAATACGAAGCGTTGACTGACGCTGCTGCTGACCGTTATGACCTATAAAATGTATTTTGCCAAGTGTCTAGTTAGTAAATTGATTTCAATGGAGTAATTATCAAACAATAGCAAAATACAGTACGAAACATTGACCAAAAAATTGAATAACCGTTCCACAAATCTATGGTGTTACCAACATTAAGATATGTTTCATAATTAAATAAAAATTGGTTTACGACTAAAAAAGTCCTGAGATTTTCGACTTTAAAGCTTTATAAAATATACGTATTTGAAAAAAATTACTAAAAATAGTGAATATTTACTGGTACAACACTATTACCCGCGAAATGACATTTGTTCTACGATTTCAAAGATGGCGGCCCTGTCGCAGTTGCTATTTCTTGTCAAACAATAATGGGAAAATTGATTTGACCAACTATTTTTACCTCTTACTTTAGAAGTTATAGCAAAATATAAATTGATAACAATTATCTTATTAAGCTAGTCATTTTGATAATGTGATTTTAAGTCTACCGATGGCTTCCAGTGTGCAAGACTCGCCTGTCGTCCACCAGACATTTGTTGAGGAAATAGATTACAGTGAAATTCAGGAATTATCGGTAAGCAATACGAAGAGATTCAGTGTGAGATTATTACTGTTTTTCAGTGATTGTGTATGATAATTAAAATTGTGTGGGCAGGTTGTAGGTAAAGGCGCTTTTGGTGTGGTATGGAAAGGCTTATGGCGGAATACTTATGTCGCTGTGAAACATATCAATTCGGAAGCTGAAAAGCGTGAATTCGCGATAGAAGTACGACAGTTGTCGCGTGTATCACATCCAAATATTGTGAGACTGTATGGAGCTTGCACTAAAGGTGCTCATGTATGTCTTGTTATGGAATATGCAGAAGGTGGATCATTATACAATGTGCTCCACAACAGACCTAAACCAAAATACACAGCCGCACATGCTATGAGTTGGGCCCTACAGTGCGCAGAGGTAACACATCTTTATATTTGTTACAAATGAAAGCCTAAATATTGTAAACATTGCTTATATCACTGGCAAATCATGAACACCAGCTGTTTATAATTTGCCTATGCAATTTGTAAAGTTAGTGAATTTCATATGGACTAGATTTGTTCACAAATTGTTGTATACAGGTTTTTAGGTTTGTAATTTGATGTTTGAATTAATTTATTTAATTGGTGAACTATTAATTTTTACTTAGGTTCAAGCATGCGAAAGGTGATAAGATCAAGAAGGGACTGATGACTGAGATGATGGATGATAAAGTTATGTGAAGGACAAAAATCTATTGTGGCAATCCTACAGAAGTAGGACATGGAGAAATTGTATGATGGTGATTAATTTTGACTTAAATATATTTTTCTTTCAGGGTGTTGCATATTTACATGCTATGAAACCTAAACCATTAATACACAGAGATTTGAAACCACCTAATTTACTATTAGTCGGAGGAGGCCAAAGACTTAAAATATGTGATTTCGGAACAGCTGCTGACAAAGCTACATACATGACAAACAACAAAGGAAGTGCAGCATGGATGGCACCTGAGGTTAGTTATTTATTTAATGTGTAAGTATTGCCACACTTATGAGTCTTGACTGTTGCAACTGGAATGTATAATAACTATAAGTTTTTTTGCAAAATAAAGAGACATTGTATAGTTTGTCTAGAAATATTAAGCACCTTATATTGTGAATAAATATAAAAATAATTTCTTCTAATTATTGTAAGTAATTTAATGGTGATTAATGTACTTACATGATGTTTTCTGTACTCACCACGCTGTATACAAGTGTTATAACAATTGGAATGGTTTTTAAGTATTAGATACTACAATTAGATTACTTCTAAAAGATTCTTAATCAAAATGATGATAATAAAGTTAAAATCTTCAATTTATAGTATTAATTGAATAATAAAGGAAGGAAGATAATGGCTCTTGATTAAACTTTTGATATTTGAATGACGACTGTATTTCATTAAAAATATAATGACTAGCTGTTGCTCTTATCTTCGTCCACACTAAAATAAAAATTGTACTAAATATAGTCTATGTTGCTCAGTGGTAACTTAGCTACTTATTGGTGAAAGAAGTTTTGAAATCGGCACAGTAGTGTTTGAGTTATTTCAATACATTCATAAATACACTTTCCTCTTTATAATATTGGTATAGATTAATATAGATAAACATTATTAAAAGATACATTATTTTTTTTAACATGTACATGACTAAGTTTATGGGTTCATTTTTAATATTACCTTTGCAGGTATTTGAAGGATCATCATATACAGAAAAGTGTGATGTATTTTCATGGGGCATTATTCTTTGGGAGGTGTTGTCAAGGAGAAAGCCCTTTGAAGAGGGAGGATCAGCATTTAGAATAATGTGGGCAGTGCATACAGGTTAATATGTTAATAATATTTATATTTATAGGGTTTAAATAAAAAATACAGACAAAAAAAATCTGTTATGTAATTTTTTGTAAATTATTAACTTAAGTTTCTTATATTGTAACTTTCCTTTGACACCTACCATACTTTTATTCTTTAACCAAAACCCATTTACTTAAAGAGATAAAATATGCTAATATGTAGCTTATAAATATTTTTTTTATTTCAGGTCAAAGACCTAATCTCATTGAAGGTTGTCCTGAACCAATAGAGCAACTAATGACACAATGCTGGGATAAAGTGCCCGCAGAAAGACCCAGTATGGCAAAAGTAAGCATAAAAACATCTAATAAAAATATACCACAGACAAAATATAACATTTCCCTTTTTTTAGGTGGTGGAAATTATGACAGCCCTTTGCACATTCTTCCCCGGTGCTGATACACCAATAGACTATAATGACTGTGAAGATGATGATGCTGAGTACTCTGATGAAGACTATATGATGTATGATACACATGACAGCCTTGGAACTGACCCAGATAGTATATCTCAAGCACACAACTCTCTACAATACACAGATGAAGCTTCAAATCCCATCATATACACTGGCAGACCAGAACTATCGCCTAGACCTCGCAGTCTCGTCGAAACGCAAGTCAATAAATTACAAAACTTAATGGCATCAGAAGTTCAACCTAAAGCCTTGCATAATAATGATACAGATACAAATAGAATAGGTCCAGTTCGGATTCCGCAGCAATTTAAAAAACCTGAAGCATATGTTGAAGCTGGTAGATCACCAGTAACAATAAGCCGAACATCAAGTTCCCCAGTACCAGATAAGATTTTGCCGAGTGAAGGCAGCACACCACAAGATACTTTACGTATAGTCCGTAGTCCGGCTATATTTAGTGAGAGTTCCTCACCTAGAAGATTGTCTCCGATTGTTAATTATAACATTGGCAATATGAACCCTCGGCATATAGACATAGAGCAGTATTGGAACAGAGAGAGTGAATCGGTTCATAGCCCGTCTGTGATGAGTAATACAAACTCTTCTAGGAAAGAGGATTATAATCAAAATTACTGTGATAGACTGAGTGCTGCAAATAGTCCGGTGACATCTAGAGAGTTCAATGGAAATGCACAACAAAAATTAGACTCCCGTTATCAGACGCCGTTGCAGATTGAAGTTGACCCGGTGAGTGTTTTCTATGTTTATGCAGTGAGCTAGTTTTTTTTGTTCTCAAATATGTAACCATGCTTTGTTATAATGCAAAGCTAAGTTAAGTACAGATTTAGACAATTCCATAAAAGGCAGCCATGTTGAATTTTTGAGTTTGTTTGGTTTTTTTATTTAAAAAAATTGTAGGTTAAAGTGTAAAAAAAAGTAGATAATGCCATGCATATGAGGAATAAAGTATTTTACAAGAAATGTTTTGGAATTCACTAGTTTTACTGTAAAATTTAGTCGTTCTTTTCGTCTGTCTGTTTTTGGAAGGTATGGAATACAGTATAGTAAGATTTCTTATTCAAATTGAGCTGACAGTCAGCTATTTATAACATACTAGCTTTTGCCCGCGACTCCGTCCGCGTGGAATTGAATAAAAACAAATGCTTCTACTTCCAAACTATCCTCTAGCTGTTTAGGCTACAGACTCCAACAAACATTCATCCATCTAAACTTTCGCAATTATAATATTAGTATAATATATGTAGATATCGTTTTTTATTTTTGTTTTTTTTTTATGTGCTCTTTAAATGTTGGTTATAAAATGTTTCAGAACGCGTGGGAGCTGAGCGAGTTGCCGCTCGACTTCGACGGTTACGTGGAAGTGAAGAACATGGCGGGTTTTGATAAATTTATCCCAGTCGGTGAGTGTTGCTTGCTAATTTAATACCGCGAATTTTTAAAATAAACCTTTAATTCGGAACGCTAATAAATTCTTATTTCTGTTTCTGAATTTGTAATGATTCACGCTTTTTTTTCTTTTTTATTGTATGTTGGTGTTTGTGTTTAATTTAATTGCACATGAATTACGTTTATCTCGTTCGGCTTCGTAAGTACCGCAGAATTTGTTTGTAATAAATTACTTGTGACATCTTGAGAAGATATTTGCTGTTTATGGAGTTCGTAATATAAATATAATTAAGAAATCTTTTCTCGATAATAAAAAAAGTTAAGAAAATAATTTTGTATATTTTAATATACATGTTTTTAAATAACTAATTTTTTTTTCAATAACTTTGACTATTAGAATTCATTCTAGTGTTCTAGAATTCACTACCATGTTATTTTGTTTTTGAATGAATTCCCAAAAGAAAAAGGTACTCAATTTGTCTGTATGTTTTTTTTTTTAATGAATAGATTTAAGCTTATTAAGTTCTACAATTGTCTTACCAGTATGTTATTTTATCTCTGTGTCAGATTTTTACTTATCGTGTTTTTCTATTCCGTAAAGTCTATAAATTTTAATAAATAATCCAACCTAAAGGATTTAACAATGAGCAAATAACGATCACAATATATATTACTTGTTAAAATCTATTATTTAGCCATTCTAGGAGTAATGTACCAAAGCAATATTACTAAAAACTTTAACAGTACACACAGTATTGTATGACTAACTTCAGAACGACTTTATTTATAAGTTTCATTATAAAAATGAAGTTTCTGTCTAATTTTCGGTACTGTATTCACAGTGATTTCCGAATAAAATATATTCAACGAATAACATGACCAGTTTGACTTATGTTCAAACTAAAGAGATTCAAAAAATATATACAGTAGGCATAGTTGACACTTCACTAGAAACATTTTTTATAACTCACTACTGCTATCTATTGATAGATCCTCAAAACCACATGTCAATATAATTAAATGTATTTAAATGAATTACCAATAGGTGTAATTAAATAATATTTGAAAGTTTAAATTTTTGACCGACTTCCCAAAAGAAGGAGGTATTCAATTCGTCGATATGGTTTTTTTTTTGTGACATTGTTTTTTTTCTATTATAACAAAATATGGAGCTAACTATAATTTTGTAAAATATTTTATTACATGTCAATACCAGGGCACGACGTGGCATTATACTTGACAACTGATATAGTACCTTTCAGTGAAAGTACCGCTTAAAAATTTGACTATGCCATATCTATATATTTCTTAAATGTCTGGTTCTAATGTAAATCTACATAAAGGCCTGATCTAATTCTCGATAGCTAAGATAAGTATAAAATAATACGAATGCATCATAATGTATGAATAGACGTACGGAAATAGCACGATCCTTGCCAGGACATACGCGTGCACTGACTCACTTTTATTAATAGTGTTTTATTTAATAACATAAGGATTTATTTGTTTAATATTACGACGGAGAGATAACGAAAGGAGAAAGCTTTTGGTAATCATATTTCATACTAATATTATAAATGCGAAAGTTTAGATGGATGGATGTTTGTTAGACTCTGTATCTTAGGCTACAGAGGCTACGGCTGAACGGATTTCGATGAAATTTGGTATAAATGTAGAGGATAGTCTGGTAGAACACATAGGCTACTTACTCACTTTTGTATTTTTTTTAATTCCACACGGACGGAGTCGCGGGCGAAAGCTAGATTTCCTGATAATGATAAAAGGCTTATCCTTTTTAATAAGTTATATGTTTTTTCAAGCTACATTTTAACTTTACTTTACTTTGATCCAATATTTATCTGTTCTTATCCATTTCGAGATGAAGTAACGTTTTGGACGTCAGATTACGCGTTTATTCAAGTTAAGTTTTTACTTTTATTTATTTAACCTAGGCTTAAATCATTTTGATGTTTATTGAATTGTTCCTCAGTTCATTAAATGTATTGTTTCCACCAATTAAGGTGAGAAGTTATTTTGGTATCAAGAAGTGTTGCCAGTTCGAATATATCATTTAAAATGTTACCAGTTTAAATATAAACTAGTATCGCTTGTAACATACTTAAACGACGCACCTAATTGGCGAGCATTAATTCGCTTTCGTGTTAGAGTGGACACATTAATATGGCAGAGGAGTTCGTGGAACTGATGTTCTGACATTTGACATCCCTATGCAACATCTCAGTGCTTACACATCGCACTTATCTTAATGGTTGCTCTGATCTGAGTATATAATGCTTTAATGTTTATAATTAAATTTCCCATTTGAATTACGTATGGTAAATATTTAAATACGATTTTCTTGTGGTTTTAGAGGATAAATGATGTTGCTTTTACGATCGATGTAATGAGGCTATGTATTTATTTCATTATTAAAACAAATTTAACTAACAGTGTACGATTGTAAAATTGCCACATTGAAATGTTTGTTGCAAATTGAATATTAAGTTACTTTTTAATTGTGTAAAATTACTGTATGTGTTCAAAATGTATCAAAGTGTGAAAAAAATCTGGTAGGAAAATGGCGCTTTTGCTATGTCGGTCTAGGGGATATGGTTCCATTGTTTGTAAACATTTTAAGGCCTTAATATATTGAAGGGTTATTTTGTGTTGCAGATTATATAAAAAATACCTCTATCAGTAATTGTAATTGCGAGGACCTGAATTACCTCTTGCGTTCCACACTAGAGCATACAAAGATATACATAAAAGATGTTATAAGTATGGTTTTAAATCGATTAAGTTTATTTTAAACAACAATACCAACTTTCAGTGATCATAATGTACACTATGTTAGCTTTGTAATTTCTGTTTATTGAGTGTAGCTGTAATGCGTTAACGGCTTACGTAATTTTCTTATTCTCGTATCCACGGAGACGCAACGTTGGTATCGTTTGTGCAGATAAAAAAGGCGTACGCTTTGTCCAAACGGCGTCGGTGCGGGCACGTGATTGAAAGATAAACACGACCGCGTACGTCCGTATTAGAAGGAAGCGTGGTCGCTATACATTTTTAGTTGCATTTATAAATTCGCCGTTCGTGTATAGATGTGCTCGGTCCAGATGCGGCGCGGGACGGTCCCGGAGTGACTCAACGTTCTCGGAAGAGGCCCGGGACTATTTTAGACTGTGTCCGCTTACCTTCTAGGAAGCGTGTATGGGACCAACGACCGACTCGCAACGGCCGAAGTATTGTTAGATCGCGAACGGGGTTGCCTCCACCCGACGTCGACGGTTCCTTGTTTTATTCTAGCTAACCCGTTTCAGATCTGTTGAGGAAGTGAACGTCTATTCGCGGCTGGTTTTTTTATATAAAAAGTCACGTTATTTTTATGATCGTCGCCACAGGAACGATCGTAACATGGTTTTATGTGAATTAACGTATAATGTAGATCTGGCAATAATTCCACTAAATATCTTATATTATTTATGATACATAGACTATCCCTGTCCGTCTTAAATAAAAAGACTGATTTGGGCTATTGCGATGTTTTTTTACTACTGCCTGTGTTGACATTTACGTAATGCATTAGGTATTGAGAACATCAAAGAAATCTCAGTTTATATTTTTGTCAATGTACCAGAAGTTGAAGAGACGTATTCCTGTTTACCTGTCTGCTCCCGGTCTCTGTATAAATGGAGCTGACAAACGAGTACTGAATTTGAGATCAAACATCGGTCACATAACGATATCAATTCTATTGCTTTTTTTTAGCAATTACAATCTAAGCCTCATATAAGGAGACCAAGTTGATTTGATTGTTTGTCATTTTCAAACATGTTGTATGTTTTTCGTTGAACACAAACAACCTTATAATATCCTAGTTCTTTGTTAGTAATCTTTGAATTGTTTTTTTTTCAACCTCGGTTTCTCCTAATTAAATCTAATTTTAACGATATAACCAACTGAAACTAATTGACGTAAAAGACACCATGCTATGTCTACCTTCCATATGCAAAAACATTGTGCTATATAAAATAAACAGTAATATTTTGGTAGAGGCCGAGCTTGCCGCGCTCTCTACATAAACAAATAAATTGTGTGTTTATGTCTACTACAAATGCTATGCAGAAATATTTGTACATCACTAGTTGGAGTTAGAAAAGAAAGGTAGTAAAGGTCATTCGATCATTTATTTATAATATGCGTTTTATAGTGGTGTAGAATATAACAGTGTCACAGTTTTTAAACTGCAACTGAAAGCAAAGAAAAGTAATAAAAAAATTGCCTTATATCCTCTATGTAGAACAGATTACTTCTGTTTCCATACAACTAATGTAAGTCATTGAACCCTAGGTACATCAATACAAAACATATCACACTTACTTTAGGAAAAAAGAGATAACAATATTTTACTATTTTATGTATGCAGCGACAATCGTAGTTTTAAACGTTAATTAAAACACGCATGTATTTTATAGAACGCATCAACACTGCACAAAACTCTGGCACAAATAAGACTATAATAAAATTTGATTATATTTTTAGATGCGTAACAGTACATTGACGCATCGCTACTATAGTGCACCGTATGCAACGTACCAAGTCGAAAACACCACTTGTCTCTGTCTATAATCCCCTTTTGTTATATTAAGACGACGTATTTGTCCCGTGTCAACAGGGTCGCCAAATATGCTTATTTTAATGGACTGTCTTGTTTGGTAACAAACATAGAATTTGCATTAAAATCAATATGGAATTGTAGCTTAATAAAACAGTACCTTATTTAATACCTAAAGTAAAAGTAATTAAACTCTCGTATCTTTAAAATATAGGCCTTACATGGTGTTGCCATTTTAGATAACCCATACAAAAAAATTAGTTAAGCTTAACTTAGATAGTACATCTGTCTAACGGTAAATTAATTTTATTTTTTGTTATAATGTATTAGTTAAAATTATGTATGATTATGTATGATGTTGTCTTAACCTGATTTATTAAATAAAAAATGCTTTTT